TAATTTACAAAGCTGTATTAATACGGCTGTGTAACAGACTCGGGGTGGGACAGAAGCTTAGGTTTGATATGGCCTACTTCACTTCATGTTACCTAGCTTGATAGATTTTTTGTTTTTAGGCCATAACTTGGTAAGTAAATGCAGTTGCACGTGTGCATCTCAAAATTCAACTAGATCAGAGAAATTGTACAGAATTTTTGAGGAATTGTACTCCACCAAAACTCCTAATTTTTACATAGACTCTTATAATTCTGAAAAATGATGCAATTATTTTAGTGCAAATCTTTTAGTAAAAACAAGACTTTAAGTTAAAATCCTGGAAAGCATTGCTATTAGAAGAGAGGGGAAAGTTTGTGAGGTGCTACATTTACTGACAGAACCTGCCTGAAGTATGTGTTGATGAGGGATGGACATGAAGTTAAAATTGTGCCAACCAGTACGCTTTTATGTTGAATAAAAATTTGAAGCTTTGGAGTTAAATTACTTATGCCCCTGTTTCTTTAAAAAAAAAAAAAAAAAAAAAAACCCAGCAGCAACAAGACCAGTACTTTTACCCCCTAGAAAACACTTGTTTTCATCTAAAAATCTAGTTGTATAGTAGGTATTTATCAGAGACTAACACCACTGGAGGAAATTAGAATTACGTAAATTGGATGTGTATTTCTGATCTCATTCTTTCTTTTTTTTTTAAATTATTTTGCTTAAACTAAAATTGAAATTATATGTAATGCATCCCTTTTGGACTTCTGTAGCTGATGTTCCCCGTATTTAATGATTGAACAGCATCAAGCAGTCCCTTGATTTTGAACAGTTAGACCTTCCAGAACTGCATCTATAGATGCATCTATAGATTTCATAGGATCAGAAAGGGAACAGGAATGTGTGCTAGCACTTGCCTGTGATGGTTTGTTCTCTCTATCTCTCTCTCTCTTTCTCTTTCTTTCTTTTTTTTTTTTTAATTACTTTAAGAGGGCAGCTCAGGGCAGAATATCGGGCTATATACAAATACTATCAACCAGCCTGAACAAGTCGGGTTACTTCAGTAGCCCTATTAAAACACTTCTATTTCTATAACTTATTTGCAAGGGGTTTATACCTTGATTCTGTTCCGTTTTCCTTCTAAGAAAACCCAGAGGGGCTCCAAAGCATGGCTGAGGTCCCGTTATACACTGCACTTGGGAGACCCTCCAGACCATTTAACGACTACATTAAAACGAGCGATGACTTATCTTGCTTGGCGTCAAACGCAAGTGATACTTGTTCAGAACTAGATGCTCTGTCACTGTTTTACTGAGGTCCACGTGCTCAGTGTGGTTTCTTCTAGATTTTGCGGAGGAGTAGGAAATGACTTGTTGAAATGGCTAAGAGATGAAAACAAATGTGTGTGTTTGCGAAAAAGATGTAAAACAGCTCTGGTCCCGGATCTAATGCATGTAACACGGTTGTGAGTTCAGAGCGTTTGAAATAGTTCTAATTTCATCCCAAGGGTAGGACCCCAACTCTCCCACCCTCCAAATTAAATTCTCTTGCAAAGAAAAAATGTGCTTAGAAGTGTAAAATTTTCATTTCTGAATCCAGTCAGTGGACTGCCCAGTCCTTTTCCGTTTGGGCTAATTGACCGCTGCTGGCTGGTTTGAAGGAAGAAGCTCCCCAGTTATGGAGTAACTTTGTGCTTTATAAAAACTTTACCCGTGATAAATGCTGGCTTGTGGCGTGAAGCTTTTGTTGTCCTTGCACTGTCAGTGAAGGAACAATTAATTAAACAAAGCTGTTCCCAAGGTGATGCTGAAACATCAAATTGTTAGGGTGCCTCTATCAATTTGTAAGTAATGTTAAGCTGTAATTAAAGCATAAGATGGCCGTGGCAATTCTGGTTGCATCCAAAACTGCCTGAAACGAATCAGATTTGGATAAATCGAGGCAAATGGCATTTGAAGATCTTAACCAGCTTTAGTCTCAGGTGAATATAGAAAACTTTGTCTTCTTACTCAGCACAGCGTTCTACGCGCGTGCTTAGTGTATTATGTCTTCAGTAAATTATCTTAGTAGGAAATAAGGCTGTATTAGTTTTGCTCGTTTTATTGGTTTTGCTGCTCTACATTCAGTATGTACAGCATTGGCACAATATAGCTTGCATGCTAACTAGTGCAGTATCAGTAGAACTGGTAACTCTGTTCTAAAACCAAAATACCTTGATATTGGTAGAGCCGTGAAAAAAGAACGCAGTTGCTGCATTTCAGTCTGTTTTACAAAGCTAGGAAACGAAGGGAAACAATAGCTTACAAATGAAGCAGATTTAGTTCGGAAGTTACTGAGACAAAATGAACATGATTTCCAAAGTACCATTTTTTTTGGAGTCAACTTTTCAGTTAAAACAGCACAGTGAGCAATTCAGAATAGGATTATAAATCAAAAAAGGATCAATCATAAAGTATGTAAAAGGTACTTAGCACAATATTTTAATATGGAGGATGCTGATTAAATTAACTTTGCACATATGTTTAGGCTATATTGGGGAAAAAACCCGCTTGTTTATATATGAAATTAAATATTTAACAGTACACTGAAGTATCAGGGAACTCTAAAATTATTTGAGAGAAATTTAATGTGGATTAATTTTATTTTGATACATTTGAATAAACTGCTCGATGTGATTGTCTCAATCCGATTTGTCTAAATAGATATCAGCTGTCTAAAAGAATAGATTTAAGCACAGTGCTGGAGAGCATTGCATACTATAGATGTGGTGTTATGTTAAGTAAATAGTCATGAAGAGACAGACATGACATGGAGTGGAATAGAAATTTGTGTAACTATTAGAAAAAAAATGCATTTAATCTAGTCTGAAAGTAATCTTCCACTTGCCAAGTGAACACATTTTAATATAATGCACGTTCTTTAGAAGTTGCGGTAGAACCTGAGGAAGATCTTGTATGCATGAATGTGCCACGTTTTTTCCATTGATATCAGCTGGAATAGTAAGAGATCACCTCTCCCTGTAAACCTGGTGTCTGGTGTTCCACAGGGGATGGAATCTTTTATTCAGTTTTTCACCCTCTTTTTTTGGAAGCAAACCTAGAATGCCTGGACCACCTTACTTAAGTTGCTCTGGATTTGCATACTACTGTCTCATAGCACATACATTTTACATGAAAACGTTCTTAAGATTCGCACTCAAATTTCTTCTTCCCAAATGGTAACTTTTTAGAGCCATATGACCTCTGCATTGGAAGCATCTGATGCACTGTTACTCTGCTACCTTGGAGTGATGTCAGAAGAGGCATGGGAAAATGTTTGAGTTTTCTTTTGCCCTTTCCACAACACCAATTTGGAGTCAACTAGGGGAGATTTTCTCTGAAGTCTTCCCCAAAAGCTTGAAAATCCAGCAAAACCAATTTAATTTTGCTATTGGAGAGTTGATGGCAAAGAAATAATCTATTGCCAGTGACCCTGCCATTGAATGGATCTCAGACTGAAGCTTCCCTATATGCTAGTTTATGTGAAGAAAAAACAGTCTGTCTTCTCCGTTTGTGTTGGCTTTCCATTCCCATTTACTGTGCGGGGAACTTTTTGCAGAAGAACGTAATGAGGCTCCACAGGCTTACACTTGGCTTTCTCACCTTTCTCTAGATTTGTCCTTGAGGAGAAAATAGAGAGTAAAATAGTCCTGTTTAGTGCATTACACAGAACTGTGCACGTAATTACTTAGCATGATATGCCCTTTTCTGTTACTTTTGACATCATGAAAGATGTGTTTATGTTAAGGTCAGTGGTGAAGCACGGTGCTGCTCCTCGGTTGTAGACTGCCCCCTCCTTCATTGCTTGGGAATTGCAGTCTTTTTGAGGGTGGAGTTGAGAAGACAGTACTGTGGCATGGATAGTTTGGGGAGAAACTTTCTTGGTCCCTGCACATCGGAAAAGTGCAGTGAAGAGAGCCATGCAGGTTTGGAAGTTTTGAGTCTGCGCAGTTAGATGGATCCCTGGGAGAAGAGTGGGTTCCTGACTGTTGAATTCATCGATCTCCGTGTTTGTAACTTCTTTTTTTCTGTTATCTTGCATTCTGTATCACTTCTGCAGAAAAGGATAGCCCAGGCATTGCTAAAATTCTCTTAAAAGAAGCTGAATTGCATTTTGTATGCATTTCTTTGTCTGTTAGAAATGTTGTCCAAAATATTAAGTATTTATATGTCCCTCTATTTTTTTTATTTGCTGCTGTAGTTGAAAAACTCATTTGTATCTCAGAGGGTTGTGACTCCATACCTTGTCTCCCTTTCATTGTTGATATACGCAAAGTTGTGCCAACTTGTTTTCATAGTAAATAATCATAACAAGAAAAAACCTGGTAGCGTGATGCTCTGTTGAACAAAGAAACAGGCAAAGCTTACGACCTGAAAAGTAGTAGCTTCTGAGCGGATTTCCTGTCAGTGCACTGCAGATGTGTGGCGTATGGTTTTAATCTCTTAACTGCATTAGTGCACATCAGGGAAAGCAAAACACATTATTCTGTACTAATTTTTCAACTTTATTCATCAGTAAGACCAATATTTTTCATATTTACGTTAGGTATGAACAAGTGGGTATTTTATTTTTTCTTTTTTTTCTTTTTTCTTTAAAAAGCTGGATACACATAGCGTTGGATCAAGGCACATACAAGACTGGCCAAAGGGCGTACAATGCACTTTGGTTTTTAGGTGGAGAAACAAATGATTATGGCAACCAAGAGTGGCTTGGGGTTTAAACATGAAGTAGCTCATAATTCAGTAGGAAGCCAGAAAGAAATATTTTACTTTACAGATTTATTATGGAATTTCTGGAAAACTGTGACAGTAATGGGCAGTATTCCTGACTGTAATGACAGTATACAGATATTTATTAAAAATGCTGTGTTTGAATATATATGCTTTAAAATACCTGTATTTCCATAGTTATAATTTACACTATACCGTTGTCTGATTACCTTCGTGACTAAATTGTTCTGAGATCTTGCTTGCATTGCCTGCTTTTATCCTATTTTTTTTTTTTTTTAAATGAACTTGTTTTGCAATACTTTTTCTGTTCCAGGCCATTTCTAAGTGTTTTGTCAGTCCTCCTGCCCTCGCCTCCCAAACGACTGCGATCAATCCATCACCGTTTTCTCTATAATGAGCAAACAACTGGTTTTGGTGACCAGAAATCTAACCCCAAACTGTATCTACCCCCGTAGTTTGTAGAATCTAGGGTGTTTTTGTTCCCCCTCCTCCCTTTTTTTAAAACTCCTTGTTAGGAATTTCATTATACTTACTTCCAGGGATCAAGTTTTTTACTCATCAGCAGCTTGTCTCATGCATATAATTGGCTTGATGATTTTCTTTCACATTGTATCTCAGCACTGTTGAATGGATATATCCAGACAGCTGATATTGCCCATTACTACACACACTTTTGTTTATTGAATATTGTTGTGGTTTACAGATTTAATAGACCCAACGTTATAGTTCTGTGAGTTTTTGCAACCACTTCTTAATCTTGATTTGCCAGGTTTAACATTATTTTATTAATACCAAAGTGAAAAATGGCCTGTGCTTACACTTACAAGGATCTCAGATGAATGTTCTGACTGCTCAACACGGCAAGAAAATTCACTTTCACAGTCAACAAGTCATCTTACTCAGTAGAACACAAAAGTTAAATGGTCTGTAACTTCAATATTAGCAAGGAAAATACAGTACAAATTACTAAAAAATACTAAAATATAGAATTGTGGTCAGGTATCCCCACTACATTAATCGCAGCAGTAGCCTGAAATTTGAAACTTTTAATAAAAAGTTCTTAAATATAAATTATATGGCAAATGTACAGTACATTGCTTTGTCAGTTCTCTTAATCCAGTGTTTTGCAGTAGAACAGCAACCTTTAAAGTCAGTCTTTTCTTGTTAAAAAATCAAATCAGTCTTTCATTTCCTTCAGTATCATGAGTGTGAATGATCTGAATCTGGAATACCACTGTCTCTGTAGCTTCTGTTACTACTGCTTTCACTGTGGCTGTTCTTATACAGATTCATTCCATTAGGTGGGAATATGGTATGTATTACAAATTCCTCCTTGGACACTTGCTCGTTATTTATTGGTATCATCTGAAAAGAAGTCTCCCTGATTTCTAGGATGGAGTTATCCTTCTTAGTTCCTGCTTCAGCATAGTCATCTTTTCTCCTGCGTCCCTTGCTGTACGCACAGTTCCGTGAGAATAAAGATCCGTTTCTATGAACGTACCAGCACACTAACGCCAGCAATGCTATAGCTACTAGAGCCACGGCACCTCCTATAATGGCAGCCAAGGGTAAACTGGAATTTTTGTAAGGTTCTTTCTCTTGTTCTCGGTTCAGGGTTGTTGTAGGATTGTACATTTTAAGAGGTGCTGTTTCAGTCTCGATGCATTCAGGCGTTTCATCTGACAGGTAGGTGTTACTGGTTTCCATGGGAACCATACATACACGGTAGGGTGATTCTGGTTCCAGAGCTGTAAGTAAATAGTCATTTCTGTCTCCTGTAACTATTGTTTCCGTTATAGATCCAAAGGCAGGGCTGTGACCCATCTTGAGCCAACTCAGTCTTAAAGCAGTCATTGGTAGTGCAACTTTCCAAGAGATATGAATAGTCTCCGTGCTTACAGATTTCACAAATATTGTAATAATTTTGCGTACTGGGCTTGCTGTGGTTCTGTAGTTCTTATTCAGATTGGGAGTTTTTATGTCTGGTTGTTTGGTCACAGAAACTGGCCAGTGTCCTTGGGCCGGATGTAGCGTGTTTGGTATTGCGGTAGTGATTTGGATGGTGCTTATTACACCATCATCCTTACAATCAAATAGTTCCGCGTTGAGGTCTTTGATAGCCATTCCACGTACTTTTTCTGGTGCCTGACACATCAGTCCACGCACATTAACCTTTAAAGGTAATGACTGTAGCCAGTCACGTACCCATTTCATTTTGCACCCACAGTGCCATGGGTTGTTGCGAAGAAACAACTGAGTGATGTTGTCCAGATCATCAAAGACACCCTGAGGTAAATTGCTAAGATTGTTATTGGACATATCTAGTCGATACAATTGCCTTAAGTAAGAGAAAGCGTTAGGTGGCACGCGATTTATATGGTTTTCTTGCAGATAGAGCTTTCTTAGATTTGTTCCTGGCAAATTTACTGGGGCGGCTGTAAGTGAATTGCGGACCAATGACAGTTCTGTAAGATTGACTAAATTCATGAAGACTTTGTCTCCCAGTCCATGATTATTTAGAAGATTTCCATCTAAAACAAGGCGTTTTAGATTTGTGAGGTCTTGAAGGGACAGCTCTGAAATCGTGGAAATACGATTATCATCCAAGCGTAGCTCTTCAATCGTTTTAGGTAAACCCCAGGGAATGGTGCTAAGGTGGTTTCGAGAGAGAAAAAGAAGTCTGAGATACATGTTGTCCCGGAAAGCTCCATCTTCAATGCTAACGGCAGAAACTGAATTATCATCCAAATGCAGTTCTTCCAAATAAGGAATTTGTGAAAGTGAATCATAAGTAATGGTCCTTATATTATTTTCCTGCAAATGCAGTTCTTTAACGTACTTAGGGAGGTTGGTAGGGAATTCATCTAGACTGTTGTGGTATAAATATATTCTTTCCACCCTAAGCAAGTTCTTCAGCTCTGAAGGAATCCCAGCATTATTTATTTGATTGTTCTGAAGGAAGAGGGTAGTAGCATCCTCTGGGATTCCTGTAGGAATAGATGTCAAATCGCGATCATTACAATATATGAAACCCACATCACAGCGACATACTGAAGGGCAGGGTTTGGCACTGACAGAATAAGGTGCCATGTCAAGTAACAGCCCTATTTTAGTCCAAATTAGGAAGATGTTCCAGGTTACACTAATCATGGTCAGGAATGATGAGATTTGTATACAGTTCTGATCTTCAACAATCTAAAAAAACCAAACAAACAAAATTATCCAGATCATTATTAAAGAAACTGCAATGAAAATTCAACTTCAACATTACAGAAGACATCTGAAACACACATATCTTAAGCTAAAATTCAAGCTCGTAGGTGCATCGTACTTTCTTTTCATCAGTAACTCTACTTCTGCCTGTACTAACTGAACTTGATTCACAGATTATTCTGTAACTTAAAATAACTTTAAACAGTATGATCGCGTGTGTCTGATCTGTGAATTGTTTTATGTAAGCAAGAAGGCTCTTTCTAAGGATTCTTCCACATTTCATGTATAGAGACAATCTTTGTTCTCAGATACGAGTTTGAAATAATGTTCTGGATTTTTTTGAGAATGGAGTAAGTACAGGTGCATGAGAAAACGTGGAAGAATGTTGAGGAGATAGGCAATGGAAGCTAGCCGGACCGTTCCGTGGGAAAAGGAGCATCTGAAGGGCATGCTGACCCACAGTCACGTGGCTGAGCCCGTGCCAGTGTGGCACTACACCTGGGCTTTGAATCGAGATTAGCGATGAGCTCACTATGCTTACGGCGCATGTGCGTAGTCCATAAAAACCTCATATAGTGCCCCCGCTCGGCGTTCCTTGCCATGGACTGACGCTCAGCAGTGCCAGGGACTCTCCCGCTCCACTGTAGCCTCGATCGGGAAATTGCTGGGGAACCCCTGCTCAGACGCAAAGGTAATAAACTCTCAATATTGACTACAGCGTGCCTTGTGTTTGTCTTTCTGTCCTAGTCGAGAGTCCGGGCGTTACCCCCGCCTTCCCCTAACAACAAGGCTAAAGTCACAGTAGAGTCCAAGTAAATCATTCTACATCTGAAATATAAAAAGTAATTCCTAAGTCAGCTAACTATCCAGGAGCCTTTAAGTGAGCTATAAAACCCTTGCTAAGCTCAGAACCACTATTGCTACCGCTATTTTGGAGGTTCAGAAAAGTCGTAATGGTAGTTCGTTACTAAGTAGAGAATACAGACAAAAGAGCAAAGAGCAAGTAAAGTCTCTTACTGTTTTTGAGCGCTCAGTGTCTCATTACATATTTTACAAATACTATAGCTTACTTTTAGTCTTGTTTCTCAAACTGGAATGTTTAGAAGGGTGAAGGTTACAATTGGCAGCTTCAAACTTGGCATAGCTGTTAGAGCTATGGCTTTCTAGTTGACTGGATAGAATACTTCATTACATGCTTAAATTCCTGTTTAAATATTTGTCATTCTCAAAAGTCTTCCTACTAAGCAGTACACTTAATAAGAGACTATTTGACAGGTTTAACCACATTTTCACATCTTATTAGTTCAAACTGTGCAAGGCAGAATAATGTAAACTAACTCTTGAGTCCGAAATTAGACTTTGCATTGGTAGTCTGTTTGTACATTCAGCTCAAGTAATTAGCATTTTTATAGCTTTTAAGACAACATAATTCAATTACTATTGTAATTACGGCTGTGAGAACGTCTGTAAGATATACCTATACATTAAGCGATGTTATGACCTTCTCTCTTGTGGGTTCCCTTACTAACTGAACTTTCTTCTATGAGGCGTGAAAAGGAAAATAAATTAATATTGATCCTACCGTATCTACAGGTATGAGTAAATTTTGTGCTTGAGGATATTTCTTTTCTTGCGAGTCACTGTTTCACAGTTTACTCCATGCAGTTGTTTTTTCTCGACTATGTTTACTCAAACGATCCTTCTTGGTAGGTATGTTTCCAGACTACTGGCACTATATTCAATGAACATTCCAACACAGATTTATCATGGTACATAAGCACACCAGGCTGTGGAACAGAAAAGCTTCAACTTCCTGTCACTGTGCCGCAGTAAGACTTCTATTTTTGTCTTCATATAAGGCCTGTGAATGAAGAGCCTCTTTTGTTTGCTTTAATGCTTTTAACAGGAATAACTTTCTTTGTAATTCTTACAAACTCTTCTGTGCAGTGTAGTAGTCAGAGGTGGTAATTTCAGCTCTGCATGATGTAAACTATTCATTATGCTGAGGCTTGAATGATGATAGCCTCTTCGGGAGGTCAGAAACAGGGTTTTTTTTTCTGTCCAAAATTATCCAAGTATAAACTTTGTACAGTAGCTACATCCTGATATATCCACACCTCTTTAAAAGAACCGTTCTCCAACTTTAACTTTTTAATGCTTCTTCAGAATTAGTAATGCAGAAAGAATTCCCTCCTTGCAAAAGAATGCAAGTTATTTTACTGTAGAAATGTTATTTAATTCAGACGGTTTTCTTCATAAGAAACATATACATATTATTTCCTCCAAGAAAACTCTCCTCCTAAAGCTTTCCTTGAACTGTTAATTTCCTGTAAAAGAAAAAAAATGCAATTAATAACCACTGGCGGACACTAGTACTCAGAGCTGTGTTGCATCCTTATTTAAATTGAGCTATGTTTATTATATACAACTAGCACAATTTTTTTCTCAAAATATTGGTAATTCACCAAAATACAGAGCTGTTTAGAAATGCCTGTTATGCTGTCTAGTCTTATGTTGTTGCAGTTCTGCTGGAGTTCTCCCTTCCTTTCTCCCAGTAGAAGGTAAAGTCATCCTCAATCAATAGGCAGTGAAAAAATGCTTGTCAACTTTGATGCCTTTCCCCCTTGATTGCTAATGGAAGTCCAACCTCCTTGGAGAAAACTAAACTAGCTTGCTTTTCATTCTTGGTAAACTGAGGTAGACAGTGTGTGGGTTCTGTCTACGAAATGTACTCAATATGCTAAGCTGTTTGAACTTTCAGGCTGTTTCATTTGAAATGCTGCACAGTGGAACCAGTATTTAGATGAGTATTTTATTAATCTGACTGCTCTAATTTTGAAAAAGAAAAATACCCCCATCTTGGCTATTCCTTTTTCTTGATAAAATCTAATTATTTAATTATTTTTGAATGGTGCATTTTAACTTCATATCACTGTTGCAAAGAGGCATCCAATGAGCTACCAGGTATATGTTCCTCAAGAGCATGTAGGCTGCATCTGTCTGAAACAGAAATAGTTGAACCTGAAATAAAAAAAAAAAGCCTTAAGATCTATTTGCTTCTCCCTCTCATGACTGCATGTACTCCAGTAAACTGAGCGTGATCCCTAAAATTAAAATGCTATGAAGAAACTGCATGCTGATTTATACTTGTTTAGCTCCCCTAATACGAGTATAACTAGAGTTGCTTCTGGTCCATCATAAAGTATTAGATTTAAACACAGTCTCTGTTTTAAAATGGTCTTTTGCAATTTCAAGCAAGCATCATGAAGTCCTGATTTGGTAGATCGGTAATACTTCTACAGCAATGGGAGATTTGCACTGATACAAAATTACTGTGACATAGAGGCAAATTATTTTCATTTTTCATAGAAGAAGGGTGACCATAAAAGGGGGGAGGAGAGAGCCCCACTTTCTTAGAGATATTCTCTACCAAGGGAATGGTGAATTAAAAAGCATCCATTAAATCGCTGTTCTTTAGAACTTTTAAAACTTTTCAAAGTAGGCTGTAAAAATATATGCTGTATTAAGCAAAACAGAAGCTCTAGTAGGCATACATCTTATGAGAAATTAAGTGCATTTGTTTTACCTTTTTAGATTATAAACTGTTTCCTCTTTGCCCCATTTTATAGTCAACCCTTCATTTATTGCCAGTATTGTATTAGTGGAAATGTAGGATTAAAATGAAAGCACTAAAGCTCATTAAGTTCCTGGAATTTTTTATCCCTTCTCTCAAAATTACGTCAAAATGAAGAGAGAAAAGTGAAAGGAGGTCTCTTTGGAGAAGATGACACCGTTTCAAAAATGTGGATTAAGACTATACCCCCCACTCCCTTTTCTAAACTTAGAATACTTTTCTTCAGGTTTTGATTGTTTGGTATCTTGCACTTCCCTTTTATATCTCAGGGCATAGCTGAAAACAATGTCTTTGCATATCAAAGGCTGCAGTGATCTGTCTACAGAGAAGAAGGGAATCCTGCTGCCATGCTCAAACTTTCCTCTTCTTGAGCTGTCTCTGCATATTCTGACATCAAGTCATTATAGCTGATCCTGCAAGATGAAAAGAAAAGTGACCCCCACTGGTACAGACACTGTGTCCAGGTTTCCACAACATCAAATTGGGAAGCTCCATGGATACATGGTTTTGAAAGAACCCATTAATTTTGAACAGAGCAGAAAAAGATGAGTTTTAGAAAGTATGTGTTGAAGTTCCATTTTTTTGCATGAAGTTCCATGCAAAAACTACTTTTTGTTAACAAAAGTAACATTTGAGCAACTGAGCAGCAGCTTTTATGCTTATCTTTAGAATAGAGTTGAGTATTTTCATGAACTTTGCTGAACTGCATGGTTAAATTAGTTTTCCTGGGATACTGTGTGAGCAAGTATTACAGATAGTGGTAATGTGTGACACTTGTGCCGTCTACTTATCGCTGTAGTACAGCTAAGCAGGGGGACGTTTTATTTTAAAATATGTTGAAGGTAATTTGTACTATACAAGAAAAATGTACTGCAAAAGAACTTGGTATTTATTATAACATATGGAATCCAGCTGTGCTGCCTATACAGTACACAAGCAACAACAACAAAAAGTTTTAATATGTTGGGAAAGCTGAAATGCTTCTAAAAATGGCGCTAAAGAGATCTTTTCTTTCCAAGATATGATACAACATGAATAAAATGAAGACCTGCCTGAGTTCAGGTCACATAAGGCTTATCTGGATTTCTAATATACCTCTGTGCTCGCTGCAGGAATTATGGCAGCTGTGAAAAACTGTGGCTTATTTCTACCTATCAAAGTAACAAAGAGAAGGGAGAGAATTTGCTGACCAATATTTCTAGGTTATAAATAATAAGGGTAACTTTTAGAGTTAAATTCATACATAAGCCTAACAACTGTGCTTAATCTGTGTACTTTTATTTATTATAAAAAATACTTTTATTGCAGTATTACCTCCATATTTATGTAGAATCTGAAAGACATCAGAAACACAAAATGTGTTTATAATCTTCTAAAATACTGGGGAAGTATCTACTGTATATATTGCCCCTTTAGTTTACAAAGGTCATGGTACCTCTTAAATAACTTCACAAAGTTTCTACAGAAGTTCCACAGTACTATCCTATACTTAAAACAATGCACATACTTTGTTTTCTTAAGTGTATTACTCAGGGTTAGTTGATAGTGACAGCAGAATGCTTTCTAAGCACCCTGTCTAAGAGCTGAAATTTCCACGATCATCATATTTCAGGAAGGTGCCCCATTCTTTTGTTTAGTGTTAGGCAAGCAGAAGGTCCCCTAACTGTCTTTTTAAGGGCTAAGGAATTTAAAGGTTTTTGTTAAAGTGATAGTGAGCTTTTCAGATTAGGATGCCTCAGTGTGGGTTGGTGCAATTGGGCTGCTTTTTTTTCCCTTGTCGGATAAGGTTTTATTTTTACTTGTGGAAAACTGTATTTGGATTTTTTTTTTCCTTTACCCTTTTCTTGTGTAGTAACTGAACATAATATTGCATTGCCTTTGCCTTTGTAATTTTAAATTGTGTCTTTAAAACAAAAATGCAAAATTTGATGTGATTTTTTTCCCATCCAATAAAAATGAATCTAAATTAGAAATGGATTCTGAGTAAAAGCTTAACTTCATGCCTTTCTTGTATGGCATAAAAGACGAGCAGAGTCAGTATGTGCTGTAGAGGATGCAAATGAAGTAAGAATTCTTCAGCTTATTTTCTGAAGTTTGCTTTTTAAATCTTTTCTGGTTTTAAAGTTGTTAGGTTGAAAAGACACTGTTTTATACTCTATTTATATTCTGTTGTTTTGTCTATGCGGCTTCTATGAAGGTTGCACATGGATTGCTTAAACTAAAAAAGCACTTTGGGGTGGAGGGGCGCAATGGATTTTTGCTTTAGTGCTCCTTGAGCTGGGCCAATTATGGCTTCTAGGTTTTCTTTTGAGAATTACTGAAAGAAGTAAGTTGCCTAGGCTTAAAACAAAACAAAACAAAAAAAAGAGAGAGAACAAATGCTGCCATTGTTTCAAGGTAAAATCCATTTTTCCTTCTTGACAAATTCTGGTGGAATTGTACTTGCTAAGGAGCTCCTAGCACCGAAGCTGTGACGAAACAAAAGGTTAGGCATATATAAAAAAAATATTACTCAGATACTGAATAAAGCTTCATTAGTTTGTTTTTTTTTCCATCCTGAAATACTTTGGTATCTACTTTCTGATTTCCAAATTTGCTTCTTGAAATATAAGACAAAACATAAATAAGCTTACAGCTTCACTTTTTTCTAAATTCTTCTAGATAAAAATAGGAAGAACATGTTTTGTGATGATGTAATTATGCTTACGGAATGCTTTTCAAGATGCCTGCCCTAAGTGTCATGTTTTTAGTCACTTATTAAAAATAAATCTAAGCAATCATGTATTAATTCTTATATGCGTTCTTGTGCTTTGAAGTGATTTAAGTAGAAACTTCAGAAATACTAGCCATTAGCGTAGATGTTTCCTGCTAGCAGGAGACAAAGATGGCCATCTACCAATTGAGGCCACTTCAAAAAATTGTAATGCAAAGTTTGCAAACTCTAGCAATTGCTGTGATTAGTCACCACTGCCTAACCAATATTTTTCCAACTTTGAGGTGCTGGTTACCAAGGGTAAATGAAAAAAAAAACAACCCAGCAACACAAATTTATTTTGTTCTTGCTGTAAAACGTATACACTTTGTTTCTGAAGATTAAAGCTTGCTGCGAGTTTACTACAGAGTTTTTGCCCACTGGGGGGTGGTACACACTACAAAACCTGTGCTTTTAAGAGCCACAAGTCAGATGTTTTTGCTGCTGTCCAGTTTTCTCTGCTTTAATTACAGCAAAGTCTCCTGTTGAGAAAAACAGAGGCGGCCTCCAAAGGCGGAGGAAAAAAATAATCACTCTTTCAAAGAGTTTACAGAATCTTATTTCCCATGCTGACTTTATTAACTACGGTATTTATCTGGTCATTCACCAATTACAGAAAATGGTACGAACATATGAAAAAAGAGTGAGAACTAGGCTATTAAATATTTGCTAAGGGTTGGTCACGGTTTCTGGTACATAGGAGAAGCAGAGAACACAGGAAAAAAAATATACAGCTTTTGGAAACGATTAAATATAGGTAGAAAAGTAGAAAAGCTCGATAGCATGACTGGAACGTTTAAAATAACCTCTGTACGTTTTAAGGTAATAAACTGGCTTTCTATAGAGCCAGGTCTACCTGTTGTTTGTGAAGTATCTGAAAAAAGATCTTAAACAGGACTGCACTGTACAATTTTGCAATAAATTAAATGAAACTTGAGGGTTTTTTTTTTTTCTGAGGGAGGGAGAGAAGAGCACTTGAACCTCTTAAATTTGAACTAACGCGTGGCATATATTGCCACGAAAAATTCATACAGATCTCTCTGTGGTACAGCAGATGATTCTTTTCTTTGTACGCTTGAATTGACAAATGCATTTTTCACTCTTAATTCAAAGAAATGTTCATTAAGACGCCATATCCCCAGGCAGAGTAGATGGTGAGCATAATTGATGCTTCTATCTCTTTGGACAGTATATTTTCGGACGTGAAACTGGGGTCAGGATAATTAATTGTTTTTTAAAGTATGAAAAATTTGTCTCTCTTTTTCTGCACTTTATTTCTGCATAGAGAATTTACATGAAAATACAAACGGTGAGTCTTCCCTTTCTAAGTGGTAATAAGAAAATCCATTCATATTTCAGAGTTCAGCTGACATCTTCTGGAGGAACAAGATTTAACTGTAAAGTAATTCTGCGTTTCACCATTACTACCGTGTATAAAATATGCAGCCGTACGTTGTTAACTGACCAGAATTGATCCCTTCAAGAAGGGAAGTGACTTATGTTCAGTCTAAATTAGTAACCCACGGCTAACAGTACTCCATGAATTAGTTAATTATAAGCAGGCATTGTTGCTGTAGCACGTTTGCAATAGTTCTTGCAACTTTGACTTGATGCGCCAGCGTTGTGCTCAAACCCCTTCTCGGTCAGAAGAGATCGTTATTTAGGCTACTTTAAACAGAATGACTATACCACAAATGCAGCTGGTCTTTGCACAGCAGAGTTTTATTTGCCAGTGGTCTGTTTTCAAGAATTAAGCAGGAAAATCAGAAAAACAAATCTAGATGATATAATCTGTCTCAGATGTTGGAAAACAGGACTGCTGTTTATAGGTGGTGCTCTCTGAAATGTAGGAGTACTCAGTCTTTGCCTTATAAATTATTTTAAGTGGCAGTTTGTGATTATATCCAAGGACTACTTTGGTAAAACAAAGGAGTGTGGCAATTCTAGCAATTGTGAAGCAAGATTTTTCTGAAAAAATAACGTAGAGATGAGGGTGTACAGAGGAATAAATGAAGTATTTATTCATAAACAACTCATAAATGCATTTGTTAGAGGCTTACGTGATGGCAGACAATCATTTAATAATTTTAAAACAACAGAAAAGTTGATGAAAACTAGGGAAGGGCATTTTGAATGCTGTGAAGATTATCAGGTACTTCTCGTTCAAAAAAAAAATATTTTTGGAAGAAATTTAGGCCTGTTGCATTCCTTCTTCGTGTATGTGCAACCATTTTGTTCGGCACGTAATCAGCTGAGTCTTTGCATGCTCGTCGGCACGACCCACTTGTTCGTTCACTGCGAAAATACCCCCTCATTTTTAAATATATGCAGCGGTGGGGGGGGGGAAGTTTTGAAAAGAGCATAAAATCCGTGTACAGAATAGTGCCAGGAAGCTTTTAAGCTTTTTTTTTTTTTTTTTCCCCCTCCCTTCTCTTCCCC